TGTTGTTTCATCCTGTGTGTGACTATTGTCATAGCTGCAGTCATGTTTAAGTGATGTGACATGATTTTATTTGGGGGGCCCTAAGCATTAACATCTAGCTGCCAATGATCTTAATTTATTAATGTTATAGACTTGAAGACACCCCAGTCTTCTTGTCTTCCCTTCTACTATGAAACCACATTGCTTCTGGGTGAAGTTTTAGGTTTCTGGGTGCAGAATGCAGGAACAATAGGGGAGAAAGGAGACCACACCTGACCTCAGACAAGACTGAGTCTACTGAAGCACCCCAGGGAGGGACAGCAAACAGCAGCCTTCCTGCATGTTGGAATCCACTGCTGCCTTGGGGCAGTCATTGGAGATTTTATGGGATACAGTGGTGGCTGGCTGACTATGTGCAGATCAGGGGCACTCTTGAGAAGTTTATGGCCCCCTTATGGCCCCTGCTTCCTGGCACCCTTTGCTCTGTTTTATATTGAGAGACAGAGGGTTTGTGTTCTCTTCTTGGGACTATTTGCACAAGGACAGGCTGTCTTGGGAAATGGGCTGTCTCAACAAATAGTCCTCCCAGGAGGGAGGGAAGTGGCTGCTTGATAATGACAGCTTTCTTCAACTGGGCATTCTATCATGAGGTATCAAGGTTTTGATCATTAAAAAAATCTGGCTCTAGAACTTATTTTATAGATTCCTCTTGATCTTAATGATCAAACTAATATAAAATGGCAATTCTCTCTCTTGCTAGTTAATGATAATTATATATTTCATTCAAATTTCAAGAAATTAGAGCAGATAATTTCCAAGAGCTATAGTTTGTGTTACCCGAGTGACTGCCTAATTGCTCTTCCATTTTTGTCAAGTGTATCTGATCTTTTGGGCCCTGATCATTAACTGACTTTGAAAATTCTTATCACCAATCTTCAGACTCTGAGAGTTGTTCTCATAGTTTATGTGCTGCTGTCACAAAATACATGAGACTAGGTAGTTTATGAACATCAGACATTGTTCCTCGTGTTATAGAGGCCAGGAACTCCAAGATCAAGGCTTTGGCAGCTTCCGTGTTCTGGAGGGTCTCACCCTTGCCCCTGGATGGGACTTTGTTGATGTATCTTATAAGAGAACTTAGTTCTGTCCTCACAAGGTAGAAAGAGTTGAAGGGGTGAGATGTTCCCTCCATCTCCTTCCTGTATCACAGAGTCCTTACAACTTAATTACCTCTAAAAGGCCTGATCTTAAATTTCTATCATTGGTGATTACGTTTCAGTTCATGAATTCTGGGCAATATTCAGATCAAAATAGCAATTATTCTTATCTTCATGAGCCCTTAAAATTTTACTTTTATGGGGCTGGAGAGATGGCTCAGCAGTTAAGAACACTGACTGTTCTTGCAGAAGACCCGGGTTTGAATCCCAGCACCCACATGGCAGCTAACAACTGTCTGTAACTCCAGTTCCAGGGGATCCAACAGCCTCTTCTGTCCTCCACAGGCATTGCACGACACAAGTGCACTTGCCTACATGCAGGCAATACATGTGTATACATAAAATAAAAATCATAAATAAAATATTTTTTAAATGTTTACTTTTATTAACTTTATCCACAGCACACTAATTATGTAAGGTCACAAATAGTTTCCAATGTGTTTTTAGCATATGTGATAATAGTTTTAAAATTGCATTTTAATAGGTAGACTTCTTATAATCATCATTTTATTTTTAGTAGTTAGACAACTGTATCCATAGTGCATCAATTTATTTCAGAGCTAAACAGAGGTCTCACGTATAGTCTGGGCATTGTTTGAACCTTCAATGTTTGTATTTGAAAGTAAAGTTTAACTGTGTGTTTTCCTTTGGAAACAGTGCCTTCCAATACAACTTTCCACAGCTTAAATCCAAACATAGCCAATGCCTTCTTCCAAAGATTGGAATATGAATGATAAAATGAAGTGTTGGGCAGGCCTAACAAAAATGACACTTCCATCTGCCTTTTATTTCAGGATGACAGTTATAAAATGTAAATTCCTTGGCAAATGACATGACAATCCTCATCAGTGACAAGGAACTGAGAGGGAGAGGAAGAGGGTGCAGAGAGAGAGAGAGAGAGAGAGAGAGAGAGGAAAAGTGCACAGTGAGAGACAGAGACTGAGAGAGAGAGGAGTCTCTAGACTTTGGTCATGTAGAACCAGAGAGGCTGGATGAAAACACTTGGTTTCTTGATTTCTTTAGAACTCATCAACAATGAGGATTTCCCTGTGAGAAAACTGTTAAATTCTTATTAGCTTTTGTGGTTCAGAGAATTCAACTTTTAAATTTTATCAAGATTCCAAAGGGAGACTTTGAAATTTCCTTTTATAGCTTTTACTAATGTCTTTAGAAATTCCTCATTTTAGAGCACATCTTTGATTAACAAATCATTTTTAAGTGTTATTGATTCAAGAATTTCATACAATGAGTTTTCATTATATTCAGACCTCCTCCGTATCTTCGCCCGCACTCTGCCAACCCCCAACTCTCCACTCCCCCACTTGTATTTCATGTCCTCTATTAGCAAAAGAAAAGCTCCATGTATCTTACATAATACCCATGAACTGAGTGCCAGAGAAATCTCAGTGTCAGTGCTCTACAATCTTACACAGAGGTGTGCTGAAGTAAGGCCCACTCCCTTTCCTCTGTTGTGGGTTGTTGTACCGTGTGTGTGTGTGTGTGTGTGTGTGTGTGTGTGTGTGTGTTCAACTGGTGGACAAAGGCATGAAAGACAGGTGCAAAAATAAAAATAAATCCTCTTTTGCAACCCAGAACTCATTCACTGTTGAGTGTGAGCTTTGATACTTACAAGGACTAGAACAGCAGCAAGGTGGAGCTGACCTGTATGTCCAACAACTCCTCTTACATAAAAATGAATATTCAAAGCTACATACCTACTGTATGTTTGAGAGGGTTGAAGCCATTGTATGCTGACAGTTCTTCTACGGAGAATAGGTCATTTTCTATCACACAATTCTGTATAAGAGCTGTCACCCTCACATTCAAGGCACAGGGTGCATGCACTTAATTCCTAGATCTGAAACACATCTGTGTGACCTAGATACCAGCGAGAATTTTGTGAACAAGTAACTTGTGAGACGTAGGTCTTCTATTTCTGGTTCTCCAACCTCATCTAAGTAATAAAGGTAGAGAAGCTCAAAGCCACCCACTGTGGCCCTAACTTACCTGCCTCATGAAGGGAGAAGGGCAGTGACCACAGGTCACCCTCACTTTTTCCTTCCAAATTTGAATATGTGCTTGGAATTAACACTTTCTGCCACACTGAAAATACTGGGAAATTGGTTATGTAAGATGTTACATTTATTCATAGTATTTTGTCTGAAATTATTTCTGCTCCCAATTTTCACTTGTTTACCCAGCATTTTAACTGAATCCAAATCAATGAGACACAGGCAGACCTTCTGCTGCCATAGTGATTAATTTTTCTTTTAAAGTTAATTCCAAATTCAATAAAATGTGCTTTAAATTTTTTATCTACTGTTTTCAGGAACTTACCCACCTTCTGCTGTCTATATGTCTATAGTTTTCTTATAAAATTGAATTCCTATGCACTTTTTATGTTAAATGTTAATTTTTTTTTTCAGTTTGTAATTTGCTTTTCTTTCTTTCTGTATGTTCCAGGGGATCCCATACTCTCTTCTGACTTCTGCAGGCATTGCACAACGTGGGTGCACTTACACACATGCAGGCAATGCATTCATATACACACTATAAATAAAATATTAAAAATAATTGTATTTTATGTCTTTACAATGAGTTTTAAACTATTTTCAATGGAATCACATTTCTGGCATTGGACTGTGTCCTATGAGAGCTAAATGTTCTAGGATGCACTGCATCACAGAATAAGATTATTTGATTTCACCCACTCACATTTCACGTAAGCCAATAGAGACAACCATTTTGTCAGGACTGATTTGCTCATAGATACTAAAATTGCTGCCTCTGCTCATTTTGGATCTTTTACGCACTCTAAGCCAGAAATGCATTGACATTTAAAGTTTTCATTCAAGTGTTGTGTTTTGAATGAGAGGTGAAGTTGATTCTTATACAGGAACCGAAAAAAAATCAGCAAAAGTGAACCAGTGCATGTGCAAAACATATGCAGCCCACAAAAGTTATGCTGGTCCTCGGCTGTCAGTACTTCCTTTCACAAGAACATTTGGTCGTGTGACGGATTTAGGTGCAGTGTTGTACACTGTCCTAAGTCCTGGTATGCGAGAACGACTAAGATGTGTTCTTAGATCCACGATAATGAACACTGCGGGTCCGTGTAACAACTCTGACTCCTCTTTTCTGCCCGACTCTTTAATCAAAGCTCAAAAAACCTAAGGGAATTGTTTCCTCAGACCACGTTAGCTCTAGACACTCAGTTCACTGTTTTTCCTTATCACACTGGAATCACTCCAAGCCTCTCAGCTTCTGGGTAGCCAGGAAGATGAGATGCTGGGATTCTAAATCTGTCACGAATTTATCATGATATTCTATCCAGTCTTACTCACTACTGAAGGTCACAGACAGAGTGAGGTTGTTTGGGGAGTTTTGTTTCTTTAATAAAAGGAAAAGTAAATCAGCATTATTACTATTGCAGAGCCAGTGTTTAAAAATACCCAACTCTTGAGAGAGTAAAGATGCTACATGCAAGCATTCCTTGCGGAGGTCCCAGATTTGGGCACTGTTCATAGCTATAGGGTAATAGATGAAGATGACTTGGCTTCTAAAAATTTGATTTCTGGACTAGTCTGTGTAGTTATTGCTAAGTAACACAGTTTCTCCAATTTCCTGTGGGGAGTGGAACTGCCTTCATTAGCTGTGTGATCATGACATGCTGCTTCATGATTCATTTTATGTGTATGAATTGAAAACATTAAAATTCCTGTCTTAGAGAGATGATGATGAGTGTCCTATAACCTGCACTAAAAAAAAGCTTAAAATTTACAGCCCTTTCCTATTCTTCCTTAGAAACCTGGAAATTTGTCACATTTCATCTTTTCACGAATCAAAAAGTCTTGGGCTGAGTGTCACATTTCCCTGACAAATTCTAAGCTCTTTGAGGTAAGGGTCATCACAGATAAGACATTACATTTGATGTAGTGCTTTATGATTTTCAGACTTTTGTGTAATTTCAAATGCATGACATAGTTGCTAAATGTTAATTGATATTAACATCAACACCCACCATTAATGTTACAACAGCAGAAAAATCATGTAACTTTCATTTTTAAAGCTTGTAAAAAAATCAAATGAACCCCGGATCTCTTAAATGGTGACTCAGAGAAAGAAAACAAACTGAAATCTAGTGACTCCGAGTTCAGTGCCCACCCAACTGCACCAGGAATTGCTATGCATCCTGGGAATCAAGACTCAAGGATTCTGATGTATATAGTCATACACATTCAAACAAGAACAATTTTACTCAAAAATTTCTATCAGTTAACAAATCTTTATCCTTGAAACCAGTGGAAAATACATAATGAAAGATTTATATCTTGTCATTGTCAAAAATCAGCTTTTAAAAATCATTCATTCTTAGCTGATTGTGAGCTGGACGTGCTGGCACAGGCCTTTAATCCCAGCATTCTGGAGGCAGAGACTGGAGGATTACTTTGAGATCAGAGCCAGGGACATAAGGATTGTTGTAAGATCAGAGGCCAGTCTGGGATGGTTGACATAGCAAGTTCCAGGCCAGCTGGGGCTGTAGTGAGACCATGTCTCAAACAAACAAACAAACAAACAAACAAGCAACATCATCCATTCTTACAGAGCACTAGGAAACACTCTATTATTTACTATCCCTTTTCTGTTGTCTCCTCTCTTTGTTGCTTCAGGGAAAAAGTGGAGCCTCTGGCTCTGCTCTTTTCTTGATCAATTGCCAGTCTGTCTAATAGCTATCTAGGTATCTGTCAGACGGATCAAATCCAATGCATAGAGAGCTCTGAATGCTGGTGGGGTGAAACGGTGGTTACTCATTCACTAAGGTGGGAATGCAAAAAAAAAAATAATAATAATGGTAGTTGTTTTAGAATCTAGTTTGGCAGTTTCTTACAAAGCTAAACCTAGACTTAACATATGATCCAGCATCACAGTCCTTGGTATTTACCCACATGAGCTGAAAACTGATGTTTACATTAAACCTGCACATGGGTGTTTAGAGTAGCTTTATTCACAATTGCCAAAACTTGGAGGCAACCAATATGTGCTTTAATAGGTGAATGATAAACAAACCACGACACATCTACTCAATGGACTATTATTCAGTGATTTAAAAAGTGGGCTATCATAGCACAAAAACACATGGAAGAACTTAAAATATCTATTCCAAATAATATGAGGCAGTGTTGGAAGACTACAATCTATAGTATATAGTGATCTATAACAATGTGATACTCTGGGAATGAGAGTATTATGAAGACAGTAAAACAAAACAAAACCACCACCACCACCACCAACAGCAACAACAAAATAGTGGTCTCCTGGGGTAGTGGGAAGGGCAGGTGGAAGGCCGAGTGGGAGGCATGGGAGATCTTAGGGCAGTGAGGCTGTTGTGATTGTCAGTATTTGGAATCTATTAACCTATACAGTCCGAGTCCTAATGTGAACTCCAAAATTTGATGATATTATATCATTACTCATTACCTTTAATTATGCAACACAGTAAACAAGATGGTAATGTGGGAACAGGAAGGGAAGGAAGAGAATATGTGGAAGTTCTCTAAAAAATTCAGTCTACCCTTTGGCTTGCTCATATAAACTTACAGCAATGGTGACAGCAGACCCCAAGCCCATGCAAACTCAATCATACAAAAACCAGCATAGAACAAGGAGGAGGCCCCAACCTGAGCCAAGGAACTTTTAGCATTTCATCACTGCTAGGTGAGGGAGAGTTGATCTTCTTTAAGAAAGAGATGCTACATAGGCTGACCAGGCTCCAGAGGATGAACTCAGTGTGAGAAGGACATCTGGGTATGCAAACTTGACTCGATAGGCCTTACCATATATGATAGAATATGTGAAATCCTGTGGGCAGATTATGGGGGAGATGCAGATAGGGGAGTGGGTCTAAATATGATTAAGATATATTGTATGAAATTCACAAAAATTCAATAAAAATATTCATTGAAAAAATTGGGTCTTCTTAAAAGGCTCTAAATTACAAATTATATTTTTCCAGAATAGTAGAAATTTTGTTTCATACTTTTTTATATATTCTATTTTCCAGTTAGAGTCACTTTAGTAAGAGTATGAATTAAATTTTAGATTTAAAATACATGGAGAGATCATTTGTATTTTAAAATAATCCTTAATTACATCTCATCAAGCTAATGGGAGCAGGTCATGTTTAATGAGTCATTTAACTATCAAAGACTGTTGTGCATTAGATATGCCAGGAATGCAGTTAAAACAGGGAGATGTATTTATTCTGGTAGTTTCCTCAATGCTGAGAAGCATTGTGTGGATTGTTCTGCCGTTTCACCTCAAATTTCATATGATAATGCATTTGACATTGTTTAGCCTGGACCCTTACATATTCCCTTTGTAGGCACTGTGGAGATCTCTTTGTGACGCTGATGATTTAATATTCAAATTTAATGCCCACTTACAGTCTTGTTTTTCACACCTTGGAGACTGTACATTCTTTTCAGACTAAGGCTGCATCTCACCTTTATTGCTTCACAGGACCGAGCACACTCTACAGGCACCTACAGTGTATTGGAATGATTGGGATGATGTGTAGAGATATGATAGTTGATTCGCGGGTGTGTGTGGGTGGGAGGAATTTAGTGTGATTGGTTAATTTAACTCAAGAGTGACTAAATGAATAGTCACAACTTTTTGTACTTCCAGCTTGTTTGTAACACGTGACGGTAGAAGGAGCAACAGGGGCTCGCTATCTACCTCACACACTCATCTCAGTTACCATGTCCGTGCCGTTTGCAGTGCCCCTGATGAGCCCCTGTTCGTAATAGAACACATTTCACAGGAGAAGGAGAAGGATGAGTTCGAGTGGTCTTGCTAGTCATAGCTAGCCTTAATTAATCAAATCAAGGTATGAAAGGAATCTAGGTGCTAACCTGTAATTATTATAAGGCTGTATGCACACACACACCAGTGTCTAGGCCGTATACATAGAAAACTCAGTAACTATTTGGAATTTTGGTGTGTCTGTTATAATTTCTGCAAGGAGCAGATGGTACACACAAATACGGTGATTTGAAGAAACTTCTTAAAATGACGAGCTATGAAGATAAAAATAAGGGCACAATTACAGCAATGGTTAGATGAACAGCGGAGGTTACCACGCAGAGATGAAAGAGAGATGAGAGAGGGATGGAGTTGGGAAAGGGAGGGACAGCGAAGAGAGGAGATGAGGAAGAAGAGAAATAAGTGTGTGCCATGTCACATGGTCTCCTGACTGTGCTAGACCTTGGTGCGTTCACACTGCCTGCTGACAGTGCTCTGCCTTCCTCCCGCTCTTACCCAGTCTCTGTTGCTCCTGTTGATTAACGTCTGTCAAAAGAGTACATTGCTACACAGTCGTTCTTTATCTGGGCAGTTCCTCCTCGCCTGGGTTCATTTCTACTTACCACAACTCTAGGAGAGAAGAGTGTTTCCCTAGCACTCACTGAGCAGGCTAGACAACCTGTTCAGAAGGACAGTAGTGCCAAGATTGAGGCAGACCCACATGGTTCCTCCTCTTGGGGCATAGGCAGGAGCAGGACTGAGGGAGTGTCCAAAGGGGCGACAGGAGAGAACACAGACTTGGGACAAGCTACAGAAAACAGACCAAGAGAAAGACGGCAGTGGAAAGAGGAAAGGCTCAGAACCACACCTGGCTATGTTTATGAGATTTATTAAAATTCAACCGGAGTGCATACTATTTAGTGAGCCAGGTTTGTCTTTAGAAAAATCCTTGTGGGATTTAGACAAGGATTTGTTAATAAAGGGCACACACAACACTCATTTTAGTCAGTCATGTTATGTAAAACACGGGCAAGAATGTAATAGGACAATGTAGTGTTTGCACAAAGGATTTCGTGACATCACAGATGACTCTTCTGCTTTCGCTTGTGCACTGCCAGAGGCTGTGGTTTGCATACCAATGAGCCACAGGAGGCAGCAGCCTTGATATTTTTGCAGCTATATGTTTGCATATAAGAAGGCACATAGCCTTCCTGTCTACTTAATATTTGATTCTTTTATTCATTGTTTATTTACTACCCCAAACATTCTCCACAAAACCATGATCACAATCTCACAATCAATCGAAGCCTCAATCTTCTCTGTAGATTCCTGACTTACTCCCGTCTCTCCTCCGCAGCAATGCCATTTATTCTCAACTACTCAGCTCTAGCTGGATCCCTTGCCTACCGTGTCTCTGTGCACACTACACATATCTACTCGGATAGCTACCTCATTTCAACTTCAACAGGTCTAAAGCTTTTACTGAATGTTTCCGCCAAACAAACAACCCTGCCATATCAGTTTTTGGTATCGGCACCGATATTTAGTAACACATTCACAGTCCATAATTCTCCCTCTCATATGGTGATTCTGGTTTCTACAGCTTTCCCAGTCTGTCTTCCATTCTCTCACACCCTTCTCATTCAGAAGCTTTGGATGGGACTCCGACTTATACCTGGAGGGTGCAGTAGACTCTCAACTTCTCTAACTTATTGATCTTTTCCTTCCAGTTAATGTTTTTCTGTCCTGAGTCCCTTCACACACCATTTCCTATGAAAGCACATTTAACTGACTTTATATTAGAAACTAGAGTGTGTCCTAAGATTTTACTTTTAATCTACCCTTGTTCTCTTGGCATATCTCTTGTCATTTGTTTATTTAGACATTTGAATTAGCTAATTATTGAACACCCAAAGCATACTCTTATATGCAAGCCTGTCTGTTGTGACCAGAGCTCACCAGGTATTCCTTACCTGTTGTTCTCATATATTTATAGCTTGAACCTCATTGTTCAAGATGGCAACCATCTCTGCCATAAGTTCCTATGGAAACCGTTGCCTTTCTTGCTTCTTTAGGACTTCTTAAAGATGTTG